CTAGATATTTTTTTTTTGTAGAATGAATACAAAATTATTATTAATATTGATTAATAATTATTCGTAAAACAATAGGCTATTGCAGAAATATTGTTATTAGGTTGACTCCATGTTAAAGCAATTGATAATCGATTTTTTGTTGTTCTGTAACTCTTAACGACAATTTGATATCGTTGCATTGTCGTTACATAATTTTTTTTTTATATCTGCCATATCTGCGCAACAATATAATGATATCGACACTGTCATTAAAAGTTGGAATACTTGATTCGATTTCGAATCCTCATTCTATACATTTCAGTTTTATACTGAGGTTGATTGGAAAATTTGAAGAAGTTTAAAGTGGATAATAATATCTATTTCCATTTCAGTAATTTATACATAATTATTTATTTATAGTATTATAGATACATGTCTTTTTATAATTTAGAAAATTGTATCTTGTGCCTGGACAACATCTTACATAAGACAGGATTAATCTAAACATCACAGAGAATGACAGACACAAGAAAGTGTAACAAAATAATATTTTTGATGTAAAGTACAATTATGTTGTAAGTATCGTGTGTTACATTATATTAGGTCAGATTTTTCTTTTACTTATATATCCGTACAAAGTTTTCTCTATTTTATGAAATTGCGCGCATATGTATAAAATAACTACAGAAAACAAAACGAATAACGTGTTAATAAAAAGTTGGTGCTTTTATTTTTCTCTACATTTTCAATGCACTCACATGTAAAAAATGCAAATTATTTTTACAATTATGAAATTACAGAAAATACATTAAGCACTTTGAAACAGTCACAGTTCAAAAGCTTAACATATTAACAATCGTAATTTTATGCAACATTCGATGGAAGGAATCAGAACGTTTCTTGCTTTTCGTCGTCAATATTTTAATATATTTTAACGACTAGAATAAACTAGAATAAACATATACACATATAACCATCTACAGATAGTGAACTAAACCGATACATTATTGTCTTTTCTTAGCAGCTTTTACAGCCTTTGATTTTTGTTTTTCTCCTCCAGAAAGAAAAGACGTTATTACTTCAGACATTTCTGGCATATTATAGATAGTGAGATTATTTAATTGCTCCATTTCCTACAAAATGCATTTAGTTTATGACTTTGTCAAAGACTAGAATATATAGACTACGTGTAAATACTATAATAATCTATATAGACGAATTATCTTACAGTTAATTATCTTTCATTTACTTTTAGACATTAGAAAAAACTCTCCTAGTCTTTAGGGTCACTCAATTTTTGGCCGGTCTTTAGGTCTTCTTACCTTCCTAGTTTCAGGATCATTCATAATTTTTGGCAGAATCATTATCAGTACAAGTGGCAGAACCATCATTAGAACCTGAATACAAGAGAAAAAATATTATAATTTTAGCGAAGGAAATAAATTAAAGTCATAGATTTATATAATAGACTGCATATTTATAATAGTCGAAGACAACACATGAAGAACAGAGGTATGTATATATTAGATACTCTGCACACAATGAAAGAAATATTAGGAGAATAGAAATACATATTAGAAATAAAAAAAATAGCAATGCAATCTCATGTTCTTTTGTATCTATTGTTCCATATAAAATTAAATGTACATTTAATCTTTACATTTAATCTTTATTCCTATTTTTTTATTTTTTCAATTAATATTTCTATTTCCAATATTTTTTCCATTGTGTACAGAACCTTATTCATTACATATTGTCTTTTCTTTCTAATGTTGTCTTGACATCTCTAAAGGAAGTATTTAGTCCATAGACCTGTTATTTTTAGCAAATCTTGCATAGTTCATCTTTTCTTTTTCTTTTCATGTTTGAGAGAAAAAGAGAAAATGATATATACAATAAGTACTATACAAGAAGTTCTAAGAAGAACAGACTTTATTGTATAAATCTATGATTAAAGTGTATGTATTGTCCACATGTCATTGAAAGCTCCATTACCATGGGATTGAACAGAAAGTCTGTTAATCGCCACTGTTCTCTAACTTGAAAATATCGAAATGGTGCTAAAGGCCTCATTTTCAATGGATAAGGTACTTGGATCACTTGCGATGTCTGTATCAAATTGACCTTCCGAGCTCGGAATTTTCCTTTCGAATTGATCTCTACTCTGACTGGCTCGTAAACATAATTTGGATTTACCACTTCAACCATGTAAGAACCAGATGGGACGTTTGAGATTATAAATGTACCATCTTCCCTGAAATTAAATATCATTTAATATATGATACATATAAATTCATTAAGTCTTGATGTTAGAAGTCACTCTGAAATCTTGGGCAGAGAAAGAATTGATTACATTAATTAAAGAATTATATATTATTATTGACAATTAATTCAATATTAATATGAATTAAACATTGAACAATTCGATTCAGTTGACCAGTGTGATTGATCAATTCTTTTTACGTCAAGATCTCGGGATGATTTTAGCATCGTAGACATAAGATTTTAACATCGTAGACATAAGATTTTGTTCGTAACGCACCTCAGAAAGCCATAGTGTTCACCTCCATTTGCCATTACATGTGTCATGAGTTGCCATCCAGTGGAAGCAGCGTTGTCCCAGGGGAATACTTTCCCCTCGATCACAAATAGATCTGTGGATGTGTCTTCTTCGTGCTCCGCTATTACGTATCGCTCACATGAATTTACAAGGATGACGAATAAACACAATATACCCTTCATGATGAGCAAGCGGACAACTATTAACCTCTAAAGCCCAATTATGTACCGTATATTTTCCATCCACCAAGCTGTCGATATGCATTGCGCAGGCGATCAATGGCGATGCATCTGACACCTGTGTATTTTACTAGAGAAATAGAAGTATCATTAGTGACAAGTGATAAGTTTTACAGGTGATAAAATCTAGCCACAAAATTTTGTTTTTATCAAATCATTTTGTAAGTCGAGACGAGATATTATTAAAGACGGCCGCTGGTTCTGGAAAAATTTTCTATTGACTAATTTATGTAGCACGAACTTGCACCACATGATCCATTTTTGACGTTCTCTATAATTTTATCGACAATTGAAAAATGGATGTTGCTACGTAGTGAACATACTTCAAAAATGGATGTACTGGCGGTAGTGTATGGATGATTTTGATAGAAAAGGATAGCCCATTTCAAGTTTCTCTCTGGTTAAACAACATTAAACAGAAAAAGCTTTGCAATGTTACAAGAATCATTAATATAATTTGTTGTTATATTAATTTAAATTCATCAAAGAATTAAGGGCAAGAATCAATCATATTAAAGAATCTTACAACAATTGCAAAGCTGCTTTTTCTTGCTGGGGAATTTTTCTCACGAAGAAATTTCCCTAATCAATATTCAATAAACATGATTGGTATTAATGAAATATCTATAAAATTTTCCCCATGAATTTAGAAATTAAATAGAAACGAATTTGGAGTAAACTGACAGATAAGTATATGATGTGACACATCACGCATATTTTGATTTAGTCTAAATATGTAGACATTTGAATTATTTAATGAGTGGTGGATTACGACAAGAATTTCGATGACGATATTGAATCTTGATGACAAAATTATTATGATTGAAAAGTATATATAGTGTTTCAATCTGAAAGATTGCCAATATGATTGAAATTCTGGCAAAACTTGTTCGAGGCCCTGTGTATTTTTCTGGAGAGATTGTAGAATGTTTGGTGACATTTACTAATCCTCCGAATCCAAATCATCAAATATCACAAAGTCACAGGTAAGATGATAGTGCTATTAGTAATAAACTATTGTTCATAATATCAATTGCTTTTCCACAGTGATCTATTCGAGAGTCTTGCATGGGCGAGTGCACAAGTCCATTGCCAATGTACAACGAACAGCAAAATGGTATTTTCAGAAAAAATAAATACTGCAGCTCGCTCAGTAGCAATTAACGCAAGTATGAATTTAAAAAAAAAAAATCTTAATCTTTTTTGCTTTTTTTTTTATTTGTTTTTATTTACTATATTTATTATGATTTTATAGATACTACTTTTGCACCATGGCAACAGGACAATGGACATGTAGTGCTGAATACAAAGCCGAAAATCTTATGTTGTGATTTAAGACTGTCACCTGGAGAAAGTAAGACTTGTAAGTTTTATTAGTGTTTTAATTCTTATTAAGTCAAAATTAGTCAGATAAGAATAAATCAAATAAAAGAAATAATTCTATTTTTATCTTTATAGAACTAAAAGATATATTTATAAATCTACATATGAATATTATTAAACATCAAGATCATTTTCGATCGAAAATAAGTTTCTTTTTCTTAGTGGATACATTTTTGTATTTGTAATTATGTTTTATTCCTATTTAATAATTATTTGTATATTTTTTGTATTATTCAAATTTATTAAATTCTTTTGTGAATAGATATTTATCGTGAAACAATACCAAGTGACGCTCCACCTTCATACAGAGGACAAGCTGTAAAATATTCTTATAAGATTACTATTGGAACACAAAGAGTGAATACAGTTATAAAACTGTTACGAGTACCATTTAGAGTACTTTCTTTAAGTGGTAAATAATTTAAAGTATTAGAAAATGTGATTATATGATAATATAAAGCATAATTCATGTATTATTTCATAGAATTACCAGAGATAACAGCATGCAATGATAGTGTGGATCTGAGTCCGAACAATCCGTTTATGGAAACACAACATAGGGAAACTCCACTAGATATTGCTCTTCAAACATTGCAGGTTATATATTATCCTTCTTAATCCATAATAGGAACATATATTTTTTGTAAACAAGAAATATATAAGTCGTCTTGGGATCCACTAAAGTTTTTTGTTATTAGTTTTAAAGGTTTTAAAATTTTTAACTCATATAAAAAATTTTATCGTTTACTATAGCAATGTAGTACAATAATAGTTAGTTCTACAATGAATAGAACAAAACTGTCAAAAATAAGATTGTGAAACATAGAATTACTCCAAATCATTATACTATTTAAAAATAAGAAAAATGTCTCGTATCAAGACTTATACGTTCTAGTTATCAGTCAAATACAAATTTAATTACGTTTCAGAATTTAACAGCCAGACGCAGTCCAAATTTTTACAACGTGACAAACGGCCGCGGACGCGTAGTACGATTCTGCCTCTTTAAGAATTCCTACAAACTCGGTGAGGACATTGTTGGAACCTTCGATTTTTCGAATGCGACTGTATCCTGCGTTCAGGTATCCGTGTCTCTACAGTCAGAAGAGCACGTGTCGGAGGAGTATAAACGGGGAAAGACCGCAACGCCAACATTGATCAGCTACAACAAGCATCACGAGATGTGTCTCGGTCTCAAGTATTCACACCTAGTGCTACCGATACCTTTGCACGTTACGCCAGATTTTACTACCGATTTGGTGACACTCAAGTGGCGATTGCATTTCGAGTTCGTCACAACGCCAAAACTGATGGACATGCCCAATAAGAATACCATAAGTTGGCATGGACCGTCGATTCTGAATGTCGAAACGATGATTTGGGATCTTCCGTTGCACATTCATCCGACCACTACTCCACCGAACATGCCACAACAGACGAAATACAACACCATCATATAAGTACCATAACATATGCACGTATATCTAATAAAATATCAATTAATATTAACAATAATATAACACTAATGTTATAATTTCAACAGTGTAAATATAATATAACACATGTATTCCATAATAGTTACATTATTGAATATGAAATAATAACATTGATGTTATATTAGTTGCTGAATTATTTAGCGTGTTCATGTAAAAGAAGTGAATTATCGTTATTTTAATGTAATATAAAGATATAGTATATAATTCTGCATTTTGTGATTTTCGTATGCTTTGGTAAGTATACGATTATTGTTGTTCCATATCTTAGAAAACAATTTGCATTCTGTATGATAATTTATTATATATGAGAAAGATATATATATATTTTTCGTATATTTATGTACATAAATAAAAAAAGTTATGTAATAAAGGAAAACGTTAGAATAATTTGAGCACTTTTATATCTATGATAAATTTTATAATAGCATCTATGACTTTATCAGCATTTGCTCCTACTCACAGTAATGGTTTTTCTGGAGACTAATGACTTCGCAGAAATGATATATTACACAACAATAAAGAAAAATAAACAGACTATTTTAATCTCTCTAAATAACGCACGTTCATATAAATCCTTCTTTTGTATAAATGAGAATATTCGTTTTTTTAACTGCACTTTTTCCTGCAATCTTATCTTTCCTATTTTTCCTTCAAAAATCGTTCCTTGAACTTTATTAAGAAATTCAAGTTCAGAATTAACAATAATGATCCTTGCAAAAACTTAATAAATATAAAAAAATCGATAAATTAATTTATTTTGCAATATTATTACACTTTTAATTTTTAATTTCTTGAATATTACTAATGCATATTTGCTTTAAAAATTGCAACTTATATAATTGTCTGTATTTGAATATTATCAAAATCAATAAATTTAAATGGAAAGCAAAAAATTATTAAATTTAGAACATATAACAATATGTAATTCTTTTGAAGACAAATATTTTACTCTATAAGAATACGTGTGTTTCTTCTAGAAGAATTAATGTCTCGCAAGGAAGCATTAGAAATTATTCATAATATTACGAAATTCTTTTGTTTTCGAAAATACTTTTTTTCATTCATCAATTTTTTTTTAGGATTTGTTCTCGCATGGACGAGTTATTTAGTGACGCGCTTCGTAAGAAAATTGTCGGTCGTCTTGTTCAATTGGTAATCTCGGTTGCAGAGGCGGTACCAAAGTCGGCGGCGAGGGAGTGGCGAAGGGCGCGTGATAATCATACCGGTAGTAAGCTAGGGATTCCCATCGGGCCGCAGCCGGATGTTGCACCTCGAAAGACGTCGGCGGAACCGACGGCGGGGCCGCGTAATAGCCGCCGGCACGGTCGGGTACGCCAGGTACATAGCTGTACTGTGGCTCCAACAGACTCTGCAGGTGCCTGATGTATGTGATGGCGTGGCGCAACGATTCAATTTTGGAGAGCTTCTTGCCGGGCGGCTTGCATATCGGCAGCTTCGACCGTAACAACTCAAATGCACGGTTCATGTCGCGCATTCGGGTTCGTTCACGATCGCAGGCCGACTTCTTGTAGTCTGAAATCGTTAATTACATCGAAGTTAATGACGGTTCTTGTTCGCATACGCGCGTATTCGTCGTCGTCGTCGTTGTCGTCGTCGTCGTCGTCGTCGTCGTCGTCGTCGTTGTCGCCGGTGTATTGTCGCGAATGATTGAACGAATTGGTTCGGATTTTTTGAATCTAGACGATCTAAAATCAAATTTTTTAGAAAAATATTTTAGCTTTCACAAAGAGATGCTGATAAATTGTGAAAACTTCAAATTTAAAACGGATGATTCCGAAGGGATTTGATGACTTAGTTATATTTATAAATTTATTGCAAATAAGATAAATTATTTTTTTATATTTTGATTACAGTATCTAAAAGTATAATCTTTTTTCTTCAAAGCAATTTTTTTTCTGTTTTTATGGATTAATAAAGTACCCGCTGATAGTGTAATATTTTATATAAAACTGTATGAGTAGTCATTTTCGAAAGACATTTCTGTGGGAAAACAAAAAAGAGCCAATATGATTGATAAAAATGAATATAAATTTTAGATATTTACTTTGTAAAAATGTCAAAACAAGAAACAGATTGTGAAATAAAATTGATAATAAATTTTACCAATCGTCTTTTTTAAATAAAAAAACTTTTGGGACGGAATCGAGGAATATTCAAGAATGACAAACATCAAAGCAAGTCGTAAAGGTTAGAGTTGAAATTATATTCAAAATTATATTCAATTTAATATATAATTTAATACACATTAAATAAATATATATAAAAGAAATAAAGGAAAATAAAAAGAATCTTCTAAATATATCCGTAATATATGAACTTATAACTTCTGTGTAACCTACATATCGCATTATTAAGCTCGTTTATTTAGGTTTATATTTTATTCTTGTTCATATTTAAAATTTACGACATTTCCACACACACACACACACACACACACACACACACACACACACACACACACACACACACACACACACACATATATATATAAAATAAAATAATCATAAAATAGTTCCCGGAAAAAATAATTTTTATGCATGTTGCAAGGAATGCGACTGAACGATGCGCAGTATTTTCGATTGCCTTTGCCGCATACGCGTAAGAAGATGACAATAATACGTGTAATGCCGCACATCGTAGACGCGAATTACTCTTATGTAATTCAGGATTCGACCACGAATCCGAATGCCGGACTTGAAATAAAGTCTCAATGTCGTGGCAAGACTTTGGAATCGAAACAGAGTTCTGTCGAAATAGCGCTCCTGACATGCAACGACTTCGAAAGTATTGATCAAAGTAAGAACTAAATTCATAAATTAACACTGCATATGTTAATAAATTGATATATGATACATTCGATAAATTAATTATTGTACAAAATAAATTAATGTTAATTGATATGGACACGATTATAATAAGATGTTTAAAATGTCCATATTCGAAGTTAAGGAAGGACGTCAGGACATTTGTATAGAAACCGAAGCTATCAAGGTTTCCAACAATCCATCGTTCTTAACGTGGCAAGACGATAATCTATCGATGGTTCCGAACGATTTCAAGAAATTAGCAGATTTTCCACAAGTCGAAGATGATCGTCCGGAAACCATATGGAATTCGGAAGAATTGCGAAACCAGGTGGAGCGCAACTGTAAGAGTGTCGACCGGAAACAGAATTGCAGCGATCGCGTTGTCGAGCTCACGAAGGAGGAGAAGTGCAATAGTTGGTGGAAGGATAGCGGCCAAACAATTCTACAGTTTTTCGCCAAGATACTGGGAAAACGCGGCGGAATAGGCACCAAGGGAGCAACGAGTTACGTCTTGCCTACCGATAACCAGCCTTGCAAGCGTGTCAAGCACGTCTCAAGGGATGGCAAAGGCCATAACAGAAGAGACGCCGATGGGGGTATACGCTTGAAGCGAGTCAACAACGGCTACATTGGCTACATTGCAAATCACGTATATAGGTATATAATATATATAATTTGCGAGTATACTTATTGTTTAAAAATCCTAAAACACAAAAATTTAAAACTTCTTTGAATATATTGTTTAAAGATTTTAAAACTTCAGAATTTGAAACATCTAACGAAAGTTAAATTTTGCTATTTTTAATACAGTTCTAAAATTTAAGTTAACAACATTGAAAATGATTGATTAATTGAAATAAAATTAATTAATCATTGAGGAAAAGAGATTGATTTGGTGGAGAAAAATGAAAGGAAAAGGATCAAAAGAAATTTATAATTTAAAATACTTAAGGTTGCACAGGATCCATTATTGGAAATTAATGCAAAAATGAGATGATATGCATTTGAGATTTCCGTCCAATTTGCAAGCGTTAGAATTGATTATAAAAATGCGAGAGTTATGAATTTTACGACTTATACGCATGAGTTTCATAGAATTCCGGCCGAGTAGTCACAAATTGAGTTCGCGATTTTACGAACGCAGTTTGTCCGACGCTACGTGACACGCACGTTTACAAATAATTTTAAACGCGTTACGCAGCGCATCGGTATAAAAATGTGCTAGCACCTAAAATTGAATGCAGCCGTGACGCGAAAATAGCTCGTCCTTTTTACGAAATACGTGCATACGTTCCGGTCGAATTGATATTCATGCGCCATGTCTCGTACTCGCGCTTTCTCCACAGGGACGAGGGCGCCGTGACGAAAAATAAGTCGCGCGAGAAGCGGCAGCATCATCCCTCGATTCTCGTGCGACAGATACAGCGGACGCGTGACAAAAATCTACGGGTTATGCTGCTGGAGCGAGAGCTGCGCGCACATTTGCCGAAAGCTGTCAGAAGGGAACTGCGACTAACTGCGAAGGTCCGACAATTAAGCAGCCCCCTCTGTTAAAATTCTCCTATCTTAGGAAAATGATACTTCGAGAAGAAATTTAATTTCAAATCGCGTATTCGGCTCGATTTTTGTTATAAACGCGTCTTAACACGTTCACGTTTTATTTTAGGCGTGGCGTATAATATGATGTAGACAAAATAATAATGTGAACATCTGAGAAATACATTATTTGTTATATTACGCAAGGTTGACTCATCATCTGTCTTTAATCTGGGAATAATCAGCTGATTTATTATATCCCGTATTAGCGAAAAAATAAAATTCACAATCAGTTTTATAGTAGTTCTGTTATACTGTTTACTGATCGAGAGAACCTGTATCTATTATTTTTTTTTATTTTTTTAATATTCAATAAATTCATAATGATCTTAAATGTTAACAAATTGTATAAGAACATTCAATAATATACAATACATAGTTAATAATAGTAACTTTTAATTGGGATGTATATAATCACACAGGTGATTGTTTACACAAAAATTGGATTATATATATTCTGAAAAATGATTATATATTCTCAGATTATTTGTAAAACAGAGGATAATTTTGAAAAATAAAGTGAAATGCAAATTTCCTTCTTCAATATCACTTATAAATAATTGGAAGAAGTCTTGCTAAAAGAATAATACAACATTACAGTGAATGTTCATTTAAGCATTGACTTCCAAGGAATAGAATCTCTAGAATAAGGGCAAATGATGAATCAATCTCTTATTATTAACCCTTACCCTATTAATATGAGTCACTAGTGACCGAGCGATTCCTGTTCGTGCAAGTTTCTTTGAATTTTTCTTTCGGTAATTATAAATTATCCTACATTTTATTATTTTCCAAAATAAAGTGCTAATATTTATTGTAGAAAGTTGAAAGTATGTTGGTGAATTTTTAGAGATTTTTTGAGATTTCATTTCTAAATAGGTGAAAAAAAAGGATAGATTCTAGTGGTCCATGTAGGGATGGGCATCAAATTGTATCTAGTATGATAAGGATTAAAATAAGTAATGTATTTCCCAAGTATTCATTATTTTGTTCATTCTCTGTATATAATAATCAGAATTTTGCATATTTTGTACTTCTAAAAGAATAATAAAGTCCATCTTATTGACATCGATAGAAAGTGATCTGTGGCAAAAAGTTCTTAAGCTCTAGCATGATAAAAATATCTACGACAATTTCTATATTTGTATCTATATCTCTATCTGTCTAATATATATATCATCTTCGATATCACTTAGCATTTCTATAAGGCATGTAGATTAGTTCAATCGTGGATGTGATCTCACCAGGCAACGTGCAATTTGACATTGCCGCACCTTTCTCAGTTTGCAATGGCTCCCGTTGCACCGATTTAATGTTGGCCTCATGAAGTATCTCGAGATGCGGATGGCTGCCGATTATTTCCGGTTCCGGTACTCTAATCACGAGCACTCCCTCAGGATTCTGTTGGTCGCGCATCTCGAAGCTCGTTTCTTGCCATCTATCTCTTATAGCCTGCGGCCGTGTCGTTTCGTCTACAAAAATAATGTAACGGTTAATAATACATAATTTTACATTCACCATTATTTATGCATATCTACAAAAATTGTAAATATATATATA